CCCCCCCCCCCCCCACACACACACACAGAGAGAGAGAGAGGGAGAGAGAGATGCACAGACCATGGTGCTGTCTGTGTGTGCAGGTGCGCGCATCGGCTTGTGGGAGGCGTTGAAGACCAAGTTCAGGGTGGCCTGGGTTGACCCCGGCAGCCCTTCGCTGGGCTTCAAGTACCTTTACCTCACCAAACACGACTATGACGTAAGTCAAGCGTGTGTGCTCGTGCCAGCGAGCCACACAGACACGCGCACACACGCACACACTCTCTCTCTCTCTCTCTGTGTGTCTGTGCCTGTGTCGTCAGTCGGTCCCCCCCGGCACTGTCAATGTGCATCCCGAGTTGGGCGAGGACGGCGAGACCAGATACGTCATCGACGACATAATCGGCGAGGGCCAGTCCATCGGCGTCGAAAACCTAAGGTGCCGACAGACAGACGGCCGTACGGACATCAGCCCTATCCATCGCACCACTCTCTTTCTTTCTCTCTCTCTCTCTGTCCGTGTGTGTCTGTCTGTGTGGCTGTTGACACACAGGGGTTCCGGCCTGATCGCCGGTGAGACCAGCCGCGCCTACGACGAGACCTTCACGCTCTCCTACGTCACGGGGCGGTCAGTGGGCATCGGGGCCTACCTCGTGCGGCTCGGCCAGCGCACCATCCAGATGATCAACGGGCCTCTGCTGCTCACAGGATACCAGGTAGGGTGCGTCTGTCGGTCTGCGCAGACCTCTGTGTCTGAAACTGGTCTCTCTCCCTCTCTCTCTCTCCCTGTGTGTGTGTGTGTGTGTGTGTAGGCGTTGAACAAGCTGCTGGGTAGGGAGGTGTACGCCTCACAGGACCAGCTGGGCGGCCCCCAGATCATGTACCAGAACGGCGTCTCGCACAACGTGGTCGAGAACGACCAGCAGGGCGTCAGGTGTGTACCCACCATCTGACACACACGTGCCACACACGCACCTGTGTGTGTGTGTAGGGAGATCCTCAAGTGGCTTTCTTATGTGCCCAAGACGGCCAAGGACCTGCCGCCGCCACTCACGAGCGTCGACCCACCGTCGAGAAACGTGGAGTACGTGCCTCCCAGGTACCCACCCCCCCACACCCCCCCAGCACCCACACACCTGTCTGTGTGTGTGCGGATGGATGGACACAGCACACCGTACGACCCCCGTCACATGCTCGAGGGCACCACCCTCCCCAACGGCACCTTCCTCAGCGGCTTCTTCGACAGAGGATCCTTCACCGTAACCCTCTCCTCTCCCCCCCACAACACAGCCCCCCAACAGCACACCCATTCCCATTTGTGTGCCTGGCCTGTGTGTGTGTGTCTCTGTACAGGAGTACCTTGGTGGGTGGGGTAAGGGAGTGGTGGTGGGCCGCGCGCGGCTGGGTGGGATTCCGATGGGCTGCATCGCTGTGGAGACGAGGACGGTTGAGGCGCGCATCCCTGCGGACCCCGCCAATCCTGAGTCGAGGGAGGCCGTCATGCCACAGGCCGGACAGGTACGTGTCTGTGGCTGGCTGGCTGGCTGGCTGTCTCACTGTCTGTCTGTTGATCACATGGATGGATGGATGGATGTGTGTGTGTGTGTGGCGGGGGACAGGTGTGGTTCCCCGATAGCGCTTTCAAGACCGCTCAGGTGCGTGTGGGCAGGCAGGGATGGATCAGCTGAGAGAGTGAGATGAGATGAGATGAGATGTGTGTCGATGTGTGTGCAGGCGATCGAGGACTTCAACCGGGCGGAGAACCTGCCCCTGATCATCTTCGCCAACTGGCGAGGGTTCAGCGGCGGCACCAGAGACATGTTCGGCGAGATCCTCAAGTTCGGCAGCATGATCGTCGATGCGCTCAGAACCTACCGGTCAGTCCCTCTCTCCCACACACACCCAGAGAAGGCCTACCGCAATCGACTGCCATGGTTGCAGCCACCCGGTGTTCATATACATCCCGCCCAACGGGGAGCTCCGCGGCGGTGCCTGGGTGGTGGTGGACCCCACCATCAACGAGGACAAGATGGAGATGTACGCTGACGTCGACTCGCGCGGAGGCATCCTCGAGCCGCCCGGTACGCGCGAAAAGACCCTCTCACCGCGTGTGTGTGAGCACCTTGATGTGTCGGTTGGGGTGGGTGTAGGCATCTGTGAGGTGAAGTTCCGGTCGGCCGATCAGATCGACCTGATGCACCGGCTTGACCCTGAGCTGAGGGAGCTGGACAAACAGCTGGAAGACTGCATGGTACGCATCACGCAGGGAGGGAGAGAGAGGGAGAGAGGGAGAGAGGTGTGTGCGTGTGTGTGCGTGGTTGATTGTATGTGTGTGTATGGTTAGGTGGACAGCGACGCGCTTGATCTGAAGGCAAAGATCAAGAAGAGGGAGGACGCACTCATCCCCCTCTACCTCCAGCTGGCACACTCATACGCCGTATGCCGAACCACAACACAGCGCACCCACACGCTCGACGTGTGCCCCTCCGTGTGTGTGTGTGTGTGTGTGCGATCGACGACCGACAGGATCTGCACGACCGCGCCGGTCGCATGAAGGCCAAGGGTGTGATCCGCGATGCCCTCTCCTGGCCCCGCAGCCGCGACTTCTTCTACTGGCGCACACGAAGGAGGATGGCCGAAGACGCCATCCAGTGAGCGACCCGACCGATCTGACCGTCTGTCTCCACACATGGCTGGATGGATGGATGCGTGTGTGTATCAATCAACAGAGACAGGGTGAGGAGGGTGCATGAGGCGCCGCTCGACAAGCCGGTTGACGAGGCCTTCGCCGACCTGCTGACGAGCAACGGTGTCGACCCCAACGACGACAAGGCCGTCGCGGCATTCATCGAAAGTGCGCACATTCCCCCCCTCCCATCGCACACAGATGGGCAGGCCTCTACACACCTTCTCTCTCTTTCTCTCTGCGTGCGTGTGTGTCTCACAGGTGACAGCCCGCCTTTGCAGCAATGGCTGGATGAGTCAATAAAGAAGGCCGTCCTGCTGAAGACGGTAGACCTGCTGGAGCAACACGGGCAGCAGGACCTCATCGCACGGCTCAAGCCATGACTGACTGACTGACTGATCGGCCGACTGCATGACGTGGGCACACGCGACACGCCGCACGAGTGCGTGTGTGTGTGGCGTGTGTGTGTATTTGTTAACTATTGCGATCTGTGTGCATGTCTGTCTGTCTGTGTGGAAACTCTCTGTGTGCCTGCGTGTGTGTGTGTGTGTGGGTGTGCGTGGGTGTGTGAGAGAGAGGGGGGTGGGGACATTTGAATCGGTCAATCGCAGAGAGAGGGATGGAGGGATGGAGGGAGGGAGATGTAGAGAGGTTTTTTCACCCACCCACCCACACACACACATGCACGCATCCACTCACACACATGAATGTGATCGCATCGCAGCGCGTCAGTGTGTGAGTGGGGAGGTGAGTGGCTGGGTGAGTGCGTCACTCGCTGGCTGCCTGAAATCAATAAGGGGCAGATTTTGTCCAGCCGAGCGACGCATTCACCCACACGCCCACTGCACACGCACGCCCGCACACATCTGGCTAGACAGACACACACGGCATTTTTTCTGCCTCCTTCCCCCTGCGTGTCTCTCTTGAGCTTTCATTTTGTCACTCACAGGTGCAGAGAAGGGCCTGGCCTGCATGACGGCCCCCTCGACATACATACCTGGTATGTATCACTTTCTAGCAATGCCCCCACCTGATGGCGCGCGTGAGCGTGCGAATGCATGTTCAGTCCGTCGTGTGAAATGCATGTCTCTGTCTGTCTCCAGCAGCCCTTCATGTGATTGATGTGCCCATTGTATGTTTGTATCTCTCGTGAGTGCCCTCTCATACCGTAGGACGGACATACTAGAGAGGACGGCCGGCCCCGCACTGCAGCCGCACACGCAGCTGGCCACATGCAGCACCAGCACAGCCACAGGATTGAGGATAGAGACTTAGGCCGTACTTCTCACTCACTCCACCTATGCTATGCGTGTGTGGTCGGTATGTATGCCTCGACAGACAGACAGACAGACAGACGCGCTCGAGAGACCAGTCAAGTGACGACGATGAATTCTTTGTCGCTCGCGACTAGGGACTGTGAGAGACATCCGTCCGTCGTGTCAAATAATGTCTGTGAAGTCTCTCTCGGCATGTCTGATCTCCATTAAAGCTCGCACCACACACATATGACCACACACACACACCCTCGCACACGCACGCAACACACGGATGCGTGGATGTCTCTCACATATTGATTCACGCGCCCATGTCTTGGAGAACTGCCAGAGTCGACTGCGCATGGCCCCCCTTGACACGCACATAGACCTCCTTGAGCTTCGCCAGCGCCATCTTGGTCAGCACGCGAGCCGTGTGCTCCTCACGAGTGCTGCTGCTCTGTGTGGTGGATGGGGTGACGCTCTGTGTGGCGGGGCTGTTGGCCGCCGATGACGACCCATGGCCGTCTTTCCTTTTGCTACTGGTGGGGGGCTTGTCCGTGGCTGGTGATGCTGCCGATGAAGCGATGGGGAAGACTTTGCTGCCGTGCAGCTGCTCGTTGGCCTGTGGGTCCACCCACACACACACACGCATGGCACACACATCGGTGTGTGTGTGGGTATGTGAGGCGGTGACTTACGAGGAGTATGCCCCAGAGTGCCCGTGTGTTGCGGTCGTCCATCTCGAGGGCGAAGCAGTAGTACTTGCGGGACAGCTCGTACTCACCTGTGGCGTACAACAGCTGCACACGTCCACCCAATGCACACACGCCACCACACACACACACAGAGGGAAATGAGCGTCCAGAATGTGTGTGTGTGTGCATTGGCAGGCGCGTACCTCTGCGTAAGTGATGACGTAGTAGGGGTTGCGGTGGTCGTACATCACCAGCTCCTCAAAACAAAACGTCGCCTTGCTCAAACTGACACACCAATGATTGGTGCGTTCACACAGCACACTAGTGAGTAACCATGAGTGCAGCTGAGTGTGGCGGTCTCACTGACCAGTTGTCGCTGATGTAGATCTCGCCCAGCTCGTGCCACGCCTCAGTGTCTGTCACAAACTCCTCAAGATACCTGCAACCGATCACAGATATACAGACAGACAGACAAACAGACAGACAGACAGACAGACAGAGATGGCTGTCACGTGTGTACTATGAGTCACACGGGCTCACTTGTTGAGGTAGTCGACGCACTCGGCCATCCTCCGCTGCCCCTTGTACAGCGCTATGAACCGCTTCCGCGTCAGCTACACACACACATACACAGGCGGCATGAAGGAACGATCGCCCGTGAGTGTCTCATTCATCTCTCCCCCACCATGTCTTCCGGCTTCTCCTCGAGTATCTTCTGGTAGATTTGTTTGGCGCCCTGGTAGTCTCCCTGGGCCTCCTTGACCATGCCCTCCAGCCGACGCAGCCGAATGCTGCCCGCAAACTTGGACCGCAGGGCTGACATGCAGTACTGACCAACGGAAACAACACACAGACAGACAGACAGACAGACGTGTGTGCCGGCCGGCACTCACAAAAATGCGCAGACGTACGTCGATCCATTGTCTGTGCCCCATGTCGCAGGCAGCCAGCAGCACGTGCTCCAGAATCGTGTACACTGTGACATACACAAACACACACCACATCCCGCGGTGCATCGATATGATATGTGTGGGCAAGATCTCCCCCTCTCTGTGTGCGCCCACGTTCGTCGTGCAGCCTGTTGGAGTATCGCCGCAGCAGCTGAGATCCATACCGCAAGATCTCATCCGGACGCCTGCACGCCACGCAGACACCGCCAACAAACAAGGATGAGGCGCCTGTGCAGAGTGACGCCACTCCCACTCACACCCTCACCGTGTGCTCATGCGCTCCTTGAGTTTCCGCAGCAGCGTCATCTGCGTGCCCGCCTCATCCATCTCGCCGACACCCAACAGCCAGCAGGCCTGTGCTGATGCCCTGTCCTTCAGTAGAATGGCAATTGAACGTGACCGTAGCAAAGGTGCATAGATCCTCTTTCTACTCTGCCTCTCCCCTGCAGCTTCCCTGCCGGAGAGCGATTTCACGGAATGCCCTAAGCAACCTGACAGCCAAGTCCCATGTCTTTCACGCACAATCAAACGACGACACGCAACAGGAATCACCCACGCACGCTCCACATGCACAGAGGAACCTAAGGAACACACTCACGAGGCCTCCAGGCCGAAACCCACGGCCGTTCGCTGAATACGAGTCGTTTACTGGACTAAGTCGTAGATCTGGCCGAGTCGCTCCTGAGATGCGCCACCCCGAGCCTCCCCCACGCCGCAGCTTCCCTGACATGCGAGCTCAAAATGCAGGTTGCGAATCTGTCGACTGCTTTGTCGTGGCTCGCTGCTATGTGGTGTGTCTGACCGCCACCTGCACTGCTGCAGTAGCCTGGATCTGCCGGGGCTTGACTCAAATCAATGTGGTGCGTGCGATGGAGGCCAAGGCGGCAGCTGCTGCTGCGGTGGATGCTGATCAGCCTCGTCATGCCGCTCATCAACGCTCTCTTGCGGATGCCATCTCTGCTGCAAAGAGAGCACTCAGGTAAGAGGCACTCATTGATGTACCTCCAAGTTCCTCACTCTCTCTGTGTTGCGCATGCAGTGCGCAAGGTGTCCAAAAGGCGGCAGACCGTCACGCATTCAACGCATCATTGGAGTGGAGGCAGCTCCATGGACAGGCGGAGGCACCACATGCATGCAGCCGTATCAGCAGCAGCGGGTGGCCTCTTCTCTGCCGTCCTCCCATCCCGTGCTGCTGCCGCTGCTACCACTCTGCGTGACCGACTGGACTCCGCTTCCCTCTTGGTGCCTTCCCTCTTCACGCTGGGTCCGGGGCAGCGTATGTTGTATGTGCCGGAGTGGCTGTTTGGGACATTCACGACCACCATGCGCTTCATGGCAAGGTGAGGATGAGATGAGATGGCACATACGTGGGCAAATGTGTGATTCCTGTGTGTTGGATGGATGGGTGGGTGTGTGGATGGGTACAGGGACTATCCACTGGGCGATGAGTATGTGCCCGACTACCTAAGAAGGGCGGCCGTCGAGCAAAAAGGCGACATACACACATACATGCAAAGGTGAGTGAGGTCCATCCATCCACACACACAGAGAGGCCACATCCATATATGTGACCCACAGGTTCTACGGCACCATCCCCGACACGTTCGACAACAAACTGAAGACCACCCTCGGCCAGCTGCCCAAGAGCGCCATCGTTCCCGATCTCGCATTCAACGTCAAGGCGGCGCAGGACTCTTTCTCCGGCTACAGTGCGGTCGATAATGTCGACTGGGACATCCGGAACAACCCAGGCAGATACACCATCAACTTCGCAAGGGTGCGTGATGGACGAATGGCAGACAGACACACACTCCCCCCCGCTCTGTGTGTGTGTGTGTGTAGATTGGCCCCGATATGCGGCCTTTACCGCCTCGCAGGAAGGAAGTGTTCATCAACGGTATCCGCACATCAGACATATCATCGGCACAAGACAGCAGCAATGACGTCTTCGTCACATCGGAGTTCACTCGCGTCGTCTCCCTCGGTGAGTGCGCCACACACCACATGGGCGCCTTGTGTGCATAATCGTGTGAGTGCAGGTGTGCGTCTCGTCACAGCAACCGACGTCGAGACCCTCACAGAGTACGTTCACGAGAGGGATGGGCGTGTGGTTGGGCGTCAGCGGCTGGCGGTGTACCTGACGCCAAACCCCAACAACAGAGAGGGCAGTCTGTTCTTCCAGACAGGCGGCAAGGCCGTGGCTTTGTACGACTATGCCTTTGAGATGGAGAGGACGGCTGACAGGTGTGTGGTGACGCCCAAGCAGGTGGTGCAGTGCATTGCAGAAGATATATAGCCACACACACAGACAGGCAGATATATGGCGCGTGTAAAGAGGTGGATACTGGGCTGATGTGGCTGGATGGGTGTCCGTGTGTGTTGGTGCGCTGACTGTAGAGTAGCGAGTGGCCCCGTGACACATTGAGTGGGCGTCATCACTCTTTGTGTCAGGTGGCCATCGAGCAGCCGACAGGCGGCACACAACACACGCCATGCAGCACATAAAGGAAAGAAGAGGCAGCTGCTTGTTTCTTTATTTCATGGCACTTTCAGACCTCTCTATCGCTCAGACCTCTCTGCCGCTGCGTGTGTGCCGACTCGTGTGCGCATCGATGGATGTGTAAATAATCATTTGCGCCTCTTGGCGGTGGTCTTCTTGCCTCTTTCTCGACAGACACAACTGGAGAGTTCGCATCTGTTGCAGGTTAATTTTTTATGACGGCATCGGGGGATGAGCCCGTGCTTCGCCGATCAGCTGCTTTCCGTTTACATCGTGACTCAACCTCGCCAAGCAAACTCGCCTTTTCGTCGCAAAACACCGTCAGAATGGTTCATCTCAGGACAATGTCATGACAAACAAAATGTCTGTATTTCTCCGTTCATTCACAGAGAGGTTCTTCGTCATCTTGCGGTCATTTTGAGCCATGAATGGTCGGTTTGGATGGCTGATTTGAGTCTCTTTGGGAGGTGACCCGGTTATCCGGTCCGTTTTTGATTGTGTACAGAGTGATTCAGCCCAGCTGACCCACATACGCAACTGACCCGCTTATAAGGTCCGGACTGTAGCTTTGGAAGGGTGAAGGCGTTTGTGTAGGCGTATAGAGACGTCCCTTGACGGATGGCTGCGCAGGCAACGAGCAGAAACACTGCTCTCCAAGCAGAGCAGAGCAAGCCAAGTCCCCCTTACCCCCACCCACAATCTCCCCCAAACCAGTCCACTTCATCCCCATCATCAACCCCTAATACTCTACACCTCACCCCACCGACCACACACACACGGCATACACACCAGCGGTGTGCTATGGGCTATGGTGTATTATGTGGGCCCGTTCATGAGGCCCTCCTCCATCGCTGCCGCCGATGCGTCCAAGGCAGGCGGACCTCCACCGGCACTAGCGCCCATGGCCACGGCACTGCCGCCGCTGCCGCCGCCGCCCAAGACGCCTACACGACCACACACACACACAGAGAGACAGAGAGAGACACAGACAGAGATGGAAGCACCCCCGACACAACCCTCCCCAGCCTCCCTCCTCACCAGGCTCTCTCATACTGCTGTCGCTGTCAGACGGGCCGGCTGCTGCTGCTGCTGCTGCTGCTGCCGCAGATGCAGAGGACGCTTGGTTGTTGTTGTTGTTGTTGTCACCGTCCTCCAAATTCTCCTGAAAGCGTCACACGTGAATGACACAATCGCCGGGTGGGTGTCTTGTTCGTCCGAGGGGAGGAGTCTCACTGGCTCACCCAGCTGCCTTCGACGCATTTGGCGACCCGCCGGTTGTACTCCCTCCGGTTCTCTGAGAACAGCTGAGCTGCCTCCTGCACACACATGGACACACACACATGGTGACGCCCACCCCACCCACAGCCACAAACCAGGCCTGTCTCTGTCGGTCGGTGTGGTTGGGGCTGTCAAGACGGTTTACCACATTGGCGGGCGAGTTGGGGTTGGGGTCTGACAGGAGCGACTGCAACACACACACACACACACACACACGCAGACGCACTCATGCAGGGAGGGATGCACTCGTGTGTGTGTGTGAGGATGCACTGACCTGGATGGATGTGAGGATGGCCGACACGTCGTAGATGGGGCTCCACTGGTTCTGCAGTATGTCCAGGCAGATCTGCCCGTCCGCATACACTGCACACACACACACACACACACACACACAGTCAGTGACACACAACACAGCTGCTGGGCGCCGTGCGTTCGCACGCACCGTTAGGATGGAACATTTTGGTGGAGAACATGACTGTCGGCGGTTTGTTTGGGTAGTCCTCGGTGAACTTGAAGTCGAGCTGGAACGTACCCCCCTCCCAAGGCGTGTCCTCGGGCCTTCAACACACAATGCCCCCCACACACGGCCGTGTGTGCATCTTTATCTCCCTCCCCCGCCCGATCTCTCTCTCTCTCTCTCTCTGTGTGTGTGTGTGTGTGTGCCTGGCGTACCCGAAGATGACGGCGTGCCAGTGCATGATGTCCCCGTCGAGGGGCGCACCCGACACGCCGTGTGGGGGGTCATTGCTGATCTTCTTGAAGTCGCGAATCAAACGCCGCCGCTGAGATATATGTGAGAGAGAGCAACACACACACAACAGAGAGTGGTGGCGAAGGACTGATGTGTCGGGGGGAGGGAGGGTGGGGTCTTTACAGCGTATGTCGCCATCCTCGATACGCAGATGCTTCTTGTGCGTACGCTTGACGCCCTCTTGACAATTTGTGCGGTCGTACACACCCACACAGTCGAGTCGTGTAGACAGACGCCTCTACCAACGCAACGCAACCAACTCTGTGCTATCAACAGAGGCAACAGACTGACGTGCTCTTAACTGCTGCCAACACACCAAAACCCGACGATCTATTTGCGAGCTCGGAGAGGAGGAAGGCGAGAAGCAGCGTGGCACCACAAAAGCAGCTTCACACCCATCCGTCCGCCCATCCATTCATCGGTCAAGATCAGTCCTGATGAGTTTTCGCGGCCGAGGTGGAAGAGGAGCTCGGTCAGTCAGCAAATCAATCAACGTGACGATACATGGACGGCATCCACACACTGCCCTCGCCTGTCTGTCTGTCTGTCTGTCTGTCTGTCTGTCGACTCATTGCATCTTTCTCAGGGGAGGCAGAGGTGGCTCTGACAGAGGCGGCGGTTTCCGCGGCCGAGGAAGGGGCCGGGGCGGAGGGGGCTACCAGCCCTCAGGACCTCCCAGCGAGATACAGGCAAGTACCAAAACAGACAGCACAGCCATCCACACACAGAGGTCGGTTGGGTGTGCGTCTGTCTGCAGGAGTTGGGTGTGTTTCTGCATCCGTGTGAGGGCGAGTTGGTGTGCCAGAGCAGCCTGGCGCAGCGGGTGGCCTACTTCAACGGCCGGGTCTTCCTCGAGAATAAGGAGGAGATCGGCAAGGTCGACGAGATACTCGGACCTATCAACCAGGTCGGTGTCGGTCGACCCCTGAGGTGTTGATCGATGCACATAACACGACAGACACTGGTGCGTGGCTGATGGACGGACATGTGTGTCTGTGTGTCAGTCTTTCTTCTCGGTCAAGTTGGCAGAGGGCATGGTGGCCACCTCCTTCGCGCCAAACACCAAGGTCTGTCTGCCTGCCGGCCTGCCTGTCTGTCTGTGCCTGCCCCCTCGTCCACCCATTCGGCTGTCCTTATGCGCAGGTGTTCATCGACCCCCAGCAGACTCTGCCGCTAGAGCGGTTCCTTTCCAAACCCCCAATACAGAAGGGGCAGAAGAAGCCAAAGTCACAAGGTACCCCCCCTCCCCGCCGTACACCCACACTCCAACCTGCCTCTCCGCTGCCTGTGGACAGATGGATCTTCGCGTGGAGGCAGGGGCGGCCGCGGCGGGTCTTTTCGGGGCCGAGGGGGCGACAGAGGCTCGTTCAGGGGCAGAGGGGGCAGGTACGCCCACGACCCACCTCACTCATCCACTCACAAGCATCCACTGCATGGTCTGTCTGTCTGTCTGTCCAGCGGCTCACGAGGGAGGGGCGGTCGGGGCGGCTTTGACAGAGGTGGTGGGTCATTCCGCGGGCGGGGTGGTGGGGGAGGGTCGTTCAGGGGCAGGGGCAGGGGCGGGTAGATTGGCATTCATTCATTCAGACAGACGCAGAAAGAGATGCACCGATGGCTGGATGCTATTAGTGACAGACCGAGAGAGGGAGAGAGGGAGCCTTGTGAATGGGTGAGTGTGGCTGCCTGCACGGCGAGTAGTGGCGGGGGCTGAGGTTGTCCTGTTGCGCTGTCAGCAGCAGCTGCATCATAGAGAAGTGAAGAGAGCAAGGCAGACCTACAAGCACCTTTCTCTATGCGTGACGAGACGCTCATAAATGTGTGCCAGCCGGGGGATATCTCGCCCTCTAAAGTAGCTCGGAAGGCCTACACTGCCCGCACATAATATCAATATGACAACAGCAAACTCAGCAAACTGGACGTTGGAGCGAGAGTCGCGAAGATCCCGTGAGCTCGCGATCGAACGCCCAATTCCCGACTGAAATCCTGTTTCTGAGCCCACTTACGGCTCTCAGACCGTCCCCTGTCTGCGCGTGCTGTCCCTGTCCCCCTGTGCAACAACTTGACCGCTTCAGGCGAGACGGCATACCTTGGGGCTCAGCCGTCTCCTTCGTGTTTCATTGCAGGATGGTGGCTAAAGCGGCGTCGACTGCTGCAGCCCTTGTGCTGCTGCTGGTACTGGCGGCATCTGTCAGCGTGTGCGCCTCTGCGACGCACTTCAAGGGCGCCAACCCGCTCAAGGGTGTGACTGACCCACAGGATGTCTCCAGCCTTGATTTCATTGGGCTGTGTGTATGTTTCTCCGATACCTGCCAGGTGGGACTCTCAGCATGGCGGCCGTCGGTGTGAACGGCACACAGCCTCGCGACCCCTGCAACACAATGGTAAACGACCAGAAGTGCCGTTACGTCGACACCTCGGGAGAAACGACGTGCGGCAAGCACCCCGACCTCGGGTACAAGTGCAAGTGCACCGACGGCAGCTGCAAGACCCCGGTGCGCACACACACTCGCATATCACACACAATGAGCATCATGTCTCTGGCTGGGTACATACCCGTCGTCTCTACTTCGCCAGGCTGCCTACAAACACCTCCTCACCGATACGTCCGCTGCCGAGCCCCCGGCCACCCGCACGGCTGCCACCCGCACTGCCAGTCGCCCTGCCACCTCCCAGCAGCCCGCCCAGCAGCGCCAGCGAAGGACTGGCGCCACAGCTCTCACGGTCAACGAGCAGCTGGAGAAAGAAGAGGCGTGTAAGTCTTACACGCAGAAGTGCCGCCGGGCGAGTCCAGGCCAAAGTGCGGCACTTACCACGGATACACGTGCACATGCAACGAGGGCGGATACTGCGTGGTATGTAGGAGGGCGAATCACCACCACTATAAACGGTCTCACTGTCTCTCATGCAATGTGTCGCGGGTGTGTGTGTGTATGGTGCAGTGATACAGCCGAAACAGGCGGCCGGCCACCAGGAGAAGTCATGCAGCGCGGCCCTTTTCTTTTGTTGTCAAGAGTGAGCGGCGTTTTCAGCCGCCGCGATTTTCCTCTTTCAGCCGGACTGAGAGAGAGGGCATGACCCAGTAAGGTAGCAGAATTGACAAATCAACGAGCGAGTCGCAGAAATGCAACGCACAAAGGTCAAGACGCATCTCACACACCTACAAGCCAAGTCTTCACGCCAGATAAACCACACAGACACACAGATATATACTTAGACACCTACTTACACAGACACAGACAGACCACATAAGAAAGAGCTCCTCCGTGCCATTGTCCCCATCTTCGCGAGACGGCTCATTTCCCTTCAGTTCTTCCACCAGAACCACCGCCAAACATCCCCATCAGGTTGGCGAAAATCCCCGTATCCTCCTCCTCACTACTCGACTCGTCGCTTGTGTCCACGATGGTCACTGGCGGCTGCACCTGGGAGGGAGGAGACGGTATTTTGGCGGGCTGAGGGGGAGAAGCCATCTTGCCCATCTTTGCCGCCTTTGCCGCGGCTAGCTGCGGGCCTAGGTACTTGCCCCGAGGTGGAGGCAGTCGCATCTTGGGTGCCGCAGGCTTGGCTGGTGATGGCTCTGGAGATAGCTGCGATGCCTGTGGTAGCGTGGCTGGGCGCGTTTGTGGACTCTTGTGATTCTCGAGGAGACCACAGGGTTCCTCTGGTTCAGCAAGTTGTGTCTCCTCCTCTGTCTCTATTTGATGGACGACGGCCTCGTATCTTCGTGTCGATGGCTGCAACGGCTGTGTCTCCATTTGTTCCATGGGCAGTTGTCGGTCGCCTTGCTCTCTTTCCTCCTCAGGCGCAACGACAGTGGGTAGGTGAGACACGACAGCCGTCTTGAGATCGGGCAGCCTCTCCACCTGCATTAGTCCAGGCAAGCCCCCGATTAGCTCTTCCGCCACCTCACCCGCAGAGACGGTCGCATGCTGCTTCGCCGACGGCCGCACCATCACACATGCACGCTGATCCGTCCGTGCAGCAGGCTGGGCGAATGTCAGAGGGGTGGAGTAGGGAATGGGGAACCGGAAGGGCGGCTGATGTCGGGTCGTCGGTGGCAGATATGTGGATGGCATGGGAGCGGGGTAGTACGTGGGGGACTGAAGGGTCGTCCTCACCGTTATGCCGTCTTCGAAGTGCTCGTGCTCTGAGGGAGAAGGCGATGACAGCAGTGGCGGGGGTGGTGTCTCCGCAGCAGTCGTCTGCTGCTGGTGGTGTCTCTGTCTCGGCTGCAGGGGCGGCTTATGGGTGCCACGGTACGGTGGTGCAGGTAAGGTGATGTTGTAGGACACGATCTGAGGCGCCTGTGCCGCAAGAGCAGAAGCCATCTCCTTCGCCACGTCATGCGGGGCTGTTGGAGCTGCTGATGAGGGAAGAATGACTTGAGTCACTTGAGGGGCTGTTGGCCGCAGCTTCTCCTCTCCCGCACTGTCTTCATGCCTCCTGCGCGGCGGTGACTTTCTCCTGTCGTCTTTGGGTGCAGTGGGGGGATTTCCAAAGGCAGGATATGGGAAGGGCACGTGTATAGGGTATGGGGGTGGCGGAGGGGGCGAGGGTGCTGGAGGGGTCTGTGGCAGAATCACTTGTGTGATCGGTGGGGGCGAGGGAGGGGGAGGAGCAGCAACAGGTGTCTCTTGCCCTCGGATCGGCCGCTCGTCTGCTGCCCCCCGTGTCCTCAGCAAATCACGGATCTCCCGCATTTTGTCGTGCAGCCGCTCGGCTCTCCATCGGGCTTCGTCATCCTGTCGCCGTCTCCTTTCCTCTTCCTCTCTCTTTTCCTGCCGCCTCTGCTGCTCCATTAGTTCTCGATGCTGGCCTTGGATGGTATCCCGAAGCTGTGAGAGCTCCAGCTGCATTTGATGGTACTTCTCGTCTTCTGAGCGGGACAGCTGTTGCAGCCTGTAGCTTGGGTCCGTGTGCTTCTGTTTTTCCTCAAGCTGGGCAGCTTCGAGCCTGTCCAGCCTGCTGAGTATATGTCTCTCCATCTCATGAAGCTCGGCGCTGGTTTGCGTCGACAGCAGCGTCTGCTTCAAGTTGGTCATCTCCGAGGCCAGCTGCTGGGTCAAGATAGTAGGCAGAATGTCTGGTCTTTCCCTTTGGGCTTCTTTCCTCTCTCTCTCGTCTTCTGGTCTTAATTTTGGCCGCCGCGAAGTCACGCGTATGTGTCCGGTGGTGGTGGGTGTCTCATCTCCAGCATTGACGTTTGGCAGGAGCTCGAAGGACGGCAAGGCGGAAATACTGGTCTTGCTGTGAGGGATGATAGGCCGCGGTCGAGCCGGTCGAGGTGGAGGTGGGGGTGGCGGTCTGTGTCTTGTTCGAGTGCATCGCTGGATCTTGACTGCAGCCTCGACTTGCTCTGCCAAAGCATCCAAGTCTTGGTAATCGGGACACAGAGCGGCTCTGAAACCAGACGGAAGAGACATGTCATAGATGGCCGAGTGCAATCGTTGCGCTCTCACCTTGGGAGCTTTTTTGGCTGTCCAGGCATCACGCTTCTCCTCACCAGTCTTCGCAACACGTCATACTCTGCCAGCAGCTCCTCTTTACCCGCATCAGCCCCACTCCATCTCACCAGATACTTGTCGATCCCTCTTCTCTGGTCCCTCACCACCTCCACTACCCTCCCATAAACCCATCTCCGGCCGCGCGTCCGTCTCAGTAAAGCACCGAGAAGCGGGTTATACCTCTCTTCTGCCGTGCCCGGAGCATCATCTGGTGCAAATACGGCCCCTCGGCTGTCATTAAAAGTGGACGGGCGGGCGAAAGGGGCAATGGTGGGGCGAGACACTGTTGTTGCGGACGGACGTGATGAAGGGACAGGGGATGGGACGTTTCGAAAGACCACGCGTTGAGCGTCCCTTCCTCTCGTGTCAAGGTTGGCGGGCGGCAGAGGGGGGTACGCCGGCCCCGTTTGCATTTTCTCGTCTCGCTCAGCAGCAGAGTGACCGGGCGAGAGCTCGGCCAGCGTCAAGCCTTGCAGGGGAGGCAGCTCCTCACCGAAGCCAGCCTCCAACGGACGCAATGGCGGTGGAGTGGGCACGTCGGTCAGCACAGGCTGGGGGGAGGGCGTAGATACCGAGAGGGCCGGGGGTGGTGAGGCTGGTTGGGACTTGACCGCTCTGACGTGCCGTTGAATCGTGGTGGCCGCTTCGATTCGTTCTGCAAGAGCGTTGAGGGCCGCATAGGAGGGATGAAAGTGACCCCTGGGAGACACACATTCACAGAAATGCATCGGAGAAGGCCTGCATGCCCCTAACACTAACCTCCGCACGGCCTCACATCTTGCCACAACGGTCTGCAAGACCTCAAAGTCATCCCACCATCCGTCCATCCCGCCGGACGTCACCACACAATATTCTTCCGCCTCTCCATCACCTGCTCGTCGCACATCCAACACCCTACCGTACTCTCCTCGGCCATCGCTGTGGGAAATCCTAATAAATGGCATTGAACAAGGGGTGGACGCCTTGCAGATGTGTGTGGTCAGGAGAGGCTCGTGTCTCAGTGGGAGCGCCATGAGGTTTTGCCGTCCTCATTCTTGCTGTCGTTTCAATCTCTAGTTGCCGGGGTTTCTTCCATGCAGCCTTCTTGACCCGCTCTTTATATGATGGCTTCCCTCTTGGGCTGCCCACGCGAATCCTTCTAGGCATGACCCAAGACATCCTCCTCAGTGGCTGGCGAGTGACAGGGACTTCCCATAAGACTGCCGCCTCTTCCTCAGGCTCTTCGGCGGGCAAATGCTCCGTTATAATATCCCTTCTCATATCCTCCGTCACCAAAGCGTTTCTTGGTCTCCTCAATATCTCTTCTGTTCCCTTTCCTCGAGCCTCAGTCTGCGCCACTCGATCTTGCGTTTCCCGTGATGTCTCATCTCGCATAGCCCGCGTTGCCTCTGCATCAGTCAGTCGCGTCCGCAGCAGTTCATCTCTGGCCCTCCGCATTTCTCGCTCCCTCTCCCTCTCTTGTCTTTCCCCTTCTGTCAAGCTCAGCCTCTCCTTGGGCACCATCAGCCTCTCGCTCATCAGCCGATCGCGTCTCGCACTGACCTTCGCGCGCTCTTCCATCGTCAGCAAGTCTAGATAAGGCGGAGTCCACGTGAGACCCCACGTCTGCACCGGGATGCTCCATCGTTTCGGCATAGTTGGCGTCTTCCAGCCTGTCTGGACGGAGCGGTCGAATATCTTTTTTGATGGCATTGGGCGTTCGAAGAGGGCCTTTGCCTGCTCAGATAGAAATGGCACTTGCAAATTGTCGATGAGGGAAGACCTGCGGCGAGACTTGCGCTTTCTCTCGGCAGCTGGCTTCGTCTTCACAGAGAGAGGAACAAGAGCCGTTGCCCGTCTCCCTTTCGGAGTCACCAAGTATGTCGACCGAATGCGCTGGCGCCTGTCGAGAAGTGCCTTCTCGCTTAATGCTCGCTTCCTTGCAGGTGGAGGTGGCGGGCCTGCTGGCCATTTTTTCGGGGGTGGGGGAGGAATGCCTCTTCGTGCACCTGCCTTTGGGGGCGGTAGTCGTGGCCACTTTGCGTCAGAAAAACTTGAGACGTCTGCTTCTCCTCCTTCTTTCTTCGTTTCTGCCATTGCTTCAGTAAAAGGGTTCTCTTCCTCACTTTCACTCGAAAACACGGGTGGCGGGGCGGCTGGAGGTGGCAATGGGACTGCTGATGTCTTCGCTTCAGCTTTGGGCTCATTGAGAGGAGACGCCGTTGCCTTTGCGGCAGTTGCTCTGCCCTCAGTGCTCCATTCGCTCGATGTCACCGAGAAAGATCCCTTGCGATTCCACCGTGAGACCGCTGGAGAGGCCGATGGTAGTGGAGGAGTTGCAGCCGTTTTTTCTTTCGTTGGGCTTTCTGGCGCAGCTTTTTTCTTCTCCTATTCTTTTGGTGTTTCGAAAAGCGGCTTCATCAAGGCATTCATTGCTCCAAGCATGCCTGCATCCTTTTCACTCGAAGATGACGATTCAATAGAGATGGCTGTCGCCTTAGGAGCTTTGAGGGGAGGGGAGGGAGGCAGAGGCGCCCTTTTCTTCGGTAGCAGTGTCGGTGGTTCCTTCAGTGGCTCCGTTGGGGCAGCAGGAGCAAATAGATTCATCATGTTGGCCACTGCCGGTAGGCCGCCTAGTCTATCTTCCTCGTCAGTCTCTTCTTCACTCGATGAGGCAAGGGGCGGAGCCGCGGGAGGTAGTTGTTTCGGCTGCGGCGGCGCAATCTTCGCTTGTCGTGCCTCGGCGATTGATTCCTCGTCTGAAGCAAAAATGCCCCTTTCAGCAGGAGGCTGCTTTGCCTTCGTAGCTGGTGCCACTGCCGCTTTCGCAGGCGTCTTCACGGGAGCTTCCAGCATAGCTTGTTCCTGCTGAGTTTGCAGTCCCAATGGCGCCATCATCATATTCATCTCCTGAATCACGCCACCAAGAATGCCCCCATCCTCATCTTCTCGGGACGACGCCGCTGAAGCGATAGCCGATGGCTTGCGTGCCGGTGGTGATGGCTTCCGGGGTGGGGGCGGGGGCGGCGGTGATTTCCTTGCCTTTATCGGCGCTTTCATCTCGGCTGCCTTAGGTGCGTCGGGCGATTTTGGCGGCAAGCCTCCTGACAGACACACAGGCACAAGCCGCTATACACTGCGCAGAGAGAATTCGGATCTCATGGTCGTACTTGTAAGACCAGGCGGTCCACCTTCCTCTTCGGTTGAGGTCTCGCTCTCGCTTGTGCCGAAAGTAGGGACACTCCTCATTGGAGGCGGGGGAGGACGTGGTGGTGGCATGTTGTGTGTGGGGGATTCCATAATTGTTGGCTCATAGTGTGGTTGGCTCTGTGTGTCTGGTCGGTGGGGCATGTCCATGGTCGCCGGCCGAGTGGGGGAAACACCAGCAGAGACACGCAGCACAGTGCGAGTCTTGCTGTCCACATACGTCCTCAGAATCACCATTGCCCTCAATCGCATCATGTCTTCATCTCCCTTCTCGTCGCAGCATTTGCCTTCAGCTTCACAAGCCCTGCGAAAATCCGCATCGTCCAACAGTTCCCCCAGCCGATCTTCCACTGAGATAGATCGCCCTGTTCTCCATTCGGGAAAGAGCACCGAGAAGTCGCGTAGAGCGACCTGGTCATCAGCTTCAAGAAGGTATGGCAGCTTCCCATAAAGGTGATGCAATGTCGATACGAGAGCCTTGTATAGAGGTGCGTGGATCCTGTAAGGTGTTTCTCGCCCGCTCGATGAGGAAGAATAAACAAGGGAGTCCTGGGAGTTCTCTCCTCCATCTTCCTTTTCCGTCGCTGGCGAGACCGGGATGTCGCTCGACGATGATGAAACCGTCAATGGCATGCCATCGTCGAGACAGTCACCTATCTCCTCACTGCCAAAGCCATAAATCGCCACAGTGTCTCTCCTCCCTCGTATCGCCCGCGCTTTCACTTCGATAAAGCCCTCGATTTTTCTCTCTTCTGCAGTATCACCCGCAACCATTTGCACTGGCCTGAAGGTTGGCGAGGGATCGGCAATATCAGGCGGCTCCTGTGCTGCTGATTGAGGAAGCAGCGCCCTCAGTGATGCCGCGAGAGACGCCATCGACGGCCGATGAGAAGGCTTCTCACGCCAGCAAGTGAGAGCAACACGACATGGAGGTGATAAACAGACGAGGAAACGCCATCATGCAGACCCTGCAGACCTTCTGGTGATGCACCAGACTGTCTTGGGGCATCCAGGGGGCGGCGGCAGTCGCCACCCTTCCGTGACTTTCTCTCTCACTTCTTCATCCGAGGAGTACTCAGAGAAAGGGAGGCGGCCTTCCGCCCATATCTCCCACGCAGTCACACTGCACACACAGCCATACAGCCTGGTAAGACGCAACACAGACGCAGCGCTTCTATCTATCTGTCCTTCTACCCAAATGCCCACACGACGGCTGCCTCTGTGTCCTGTTCCCCTCGCAGACACTCAGGTGAGCTCCACCTCACGGGACGGGGCTTTGACTCATCCTCTAATCCACACACCTGAACCAGAAACAGGCATCCACGTTTCTGTGTTGCGTTCTGCCAGCCCCCATTTCTCACCCCGCATAGTACCTTGACGGCGACGTTGTTCTCTTCTGCATCATCAGAGCTGTTGAATCGCCACACCTCCACCACCGCGGCCCTCAGCCCCCTTAGGATCCTCACGGCCTCGCACGTGCTCTCCATCAGCTCTTCCAGATGCCCTGCCAGCCTGCATGTCAACCTCAGCTTGACCTCTGCACTGACACAGCCACGATGCAGTTCCAGAAGATGACGAAGGGCTCCCATCGCTGTCCTTCGGGAGCAGAGAAGAGCAGAGAAGCCGAAAGACGTTAGAATGTGAAAGTGGATATCGCCCGTTCTTGTGTATGTAGCCAGGGGAAGTGTTCGTCACCTGTGCCCTCTGTTGTCATCTGTGTGTCGGCCGGTGCCAGTGCCTTTCCTTTTGTGGTGGACCATAGGGATGGGTGGGTAGACAGGCCTGCATCACACAGACTCGTTCTTGCGTACCCCTTCGGCGGGCCGGGGGGCAAGGTCCCCGTGAGGTTAAAGAACGAACGAACGGACACGGATCGCGTTTGCGAGCTATGAAGTGATCCTCACACTTCCTTTTCGCGCCGCGCATCGTTTTCTGTTGCTTTCAACAGCCATGAAGGTCTTCAAGGACGTCTTTACTGGTACGCACTCCACCTGCTGCAGATCTGCCTGATTTCCCTCTCTCTGATCTGCTACTGCTGCAATGTGACGTGTCTGTCAGGTGACGAGCTGATGTCCGACTCGTACAAGCACCAGGCACCGTTCGGCGACGAATCCCTCGCAGACGTTGCCTTTGAGGTGGAGGCCAAGGTGAGGCGATTGAGAAGAGGGAACCACACGTGTCCGTGTGCCCTCCCTGTGCAAGTGTGTGCTCGTGTCTGTTTGTGTTTGTGTTTGTGTGTCGGTTTATCTTATTGCAGCGAGTGAGCAAGGGCGGTGAGGATTTCGGCGTGGCGGCCAACGTGGATGAGGACGCGGGGGAGGGGGCGACGGCAGACGGCGGCGAGGCCGCAGAGATGGTCATCGATATCGTCGATGGATTCAAAGTCAGGGCGGCAGACAGACAGACAGACAGACAGACAGACAGACAGAGAGGGAGGGAGGGAGGGAGGGAGGGGGGCGGCGGAGCAGAGAACACGCAATGCATGTTGGTTGCTATGGGTTGGTGTGGTGTGACTGATGTCATGTAGTTGTGCGAGACTGGGTTCTCCAAGAAGGATTTCGGGGTGTACATCAAGGCGTACATGCAGCGCGTCAAGAAGTACCTCGAGGAGAACAACCCCGACAGAGTCGAGAAGTTCATGGCCGGCGCACAGGCACTCGTCAAGAAATTCCTCGGCATGTTCGATGACCTCCAGTTGTAGGCACACACACACACACACACACACACGCCTCCCCACCCCCCTGTGTGTGGACCTGTGTGTGGATCTGTGTGTCGATTTGTGTGTCCGTGTGTGGATGTTGCAGCTTTATGGGCGAGAGCATGGACAGCGAGGCGGGCATGGTGTACGCCTATTACGGAGACGGCAAGGAGGCGCCCACCTGCGTCTACTTCATCGACGGCCTCAAGGAAGAGAAATACTAACCCACGCATGCCCGCCCACCCCCCCATCTCCGCCTGTCTGCCTGTCGATGCATCCCATTGCCCCATGCGTGTGCCTTCCATCTTTGTGAACGTGTCCGTGCGTGTGCGTGCATGTGTTTCTGGTCGGTGAGCCAGAAGCGTGAATCCGTGGCGATTTTGGTGCATTGAGCCGATCGGTGGATGGTTGGATGGATGGATGGCATGAGTGGGGGTGTGGGTGCATGCGGCATAAATTGCACGCACCCCCTCCACCTTTGCGTGAGTGAGTCAGGGTGGGAAACACAGTAGGGCGTCCGTGTGTTGTGTTCTTTTCGGGACTTTCAAGCCATGTGCATGCATGTTATCAATTCGTCGTGAGTGACCTGACTGACTGATGTGCCTGGGTGTGTTTGCTGTGAGGCGGTCTGCGTTCGCTCGTTCCCAATCGGCACGACAAGGCAGCCGACGCATGTCGACCATGTGTTGGCCATCTTGTTGTGGAATGAGGGAACGTTCGTATGCACGGCCCTTCACAGCAGACACACAGCTCTAGACTGACCGATGAGTGAGATAATGATGGACCCATGCGTGTTGACGGTGGACGGACAGATGTCTTGACGAGAATGGGTACACGACTGACGTCCGATTTCGTCTCAGCGAGCTGTCAAATCTGGACACCCGCTAAGCTGCTAACTGTACACACACGCCACCCAGCGCCACGCCACACCCACAACGACGTACCACCTCACGAACAAATCCTCTAGCTCCTCTCTCTTCGTTGACAGACCAGCCACAACACCACCACGACAAACCACTCACGGCTGCCAGTATGGCTACAGGGGGTTGTTGTATAGCATCTGGCCCTTGTCCGTCTTGATGCGGGTGACCTTCCAGTGCTTCCGGGTGGCCTCCTTGCTGCGCTTCCAGAAGGACGCCAGCTGCTTGCCCGTCACACCCTCACGCAACTGCATGGACACAGCCATCAACCACACCACATCCATCCATCCATCCATTCGTCTGTCTGGTCTGTATCTTCTTCGCTCACCTGTTTGCCGTTGTAGTAGTCGTACTTGAGTCCTTTTGAGTCGATGACAGGCGCCTCCCCAATCTCCAAGAGCAGCTCCCCATACCCACTGTAGTCCATACCACCATAGACCATGCTGCTTGCACCACCCGCAGCAGCAGCAGCAGTAGACGGTGCCTCGGTCTCAGCTCTTGTTTTTCTCTTCCCACGCAGCTTTGGGGCTGCAGTGGGCTCAGCAGCTGCTGCTGTTGCTGTTGCCGCTGCTGCTGCTGCTGTGGGCTGTTCCTCCCTCTTTCTCCGACCTCTCTTGGGCTTGGGAGTCTCCTCCACAGCATCAGCTTCAGCAGCATCAGCAGGGTCAGTGGAGGAAACTAGCAAGGCCCGCCCGACTTTTCTCGGCTTGACTGGCTGTGGTTCTGGTGCTGCTGGGGGTGGTGGGGTGGGCTCGGCGGCTGCTTCCTCAGCTGCTGCTGGTGGTTGTGCTTGTGCTTGTGTGGGCTCTGTGGGCGGCATGGGTGCAGGTGGCTGTGTGAGGCAGTCTGCCCGCCACTGCTGCCATGTCTGCTGTGGGATGGTGAGGGTGCCCTTGGTGCGGTCGTCCACGGTAGGGCTGAGGGGGTGGGGGAAGTCGAGCTGCAGCACCGACTCGGCTGTGGGCAGGTACTTGCTGCCGGCATCGATGCGCAGATCAGGGAGCTTCCCAACCTTCACACACATCCATCCATCCATCCATACACACACAGAGAGGGCTGAATGAGAGCGTTTGTGTGGGTGTGTGCTGTGTGTTGCTGGTGTGTGGGTGTGATACCTGGTCCTCTGGCACCCTCAGCAAGAACTGCAGCACCGATCTCAATGTTGCGCGAGCCCAGTGCTTTGACGGTAAGCTCGACAGCTGCCCCCCCCCACACACACATCCACACGCACACCAGACACGCACTTTGCCATGCTCCCTCTCTCCTTCTCTGTGTGGGTGGCGTGTTCTTGTCAAGTCACCTCGACCAGCCCATTGCTGATAGGCGAGACCGCCTTCGCGCGCACCAGCCCGGCGTAGATGGTGTCGAGACACGGGAGCAACCGGGCCTCCTTTGCCGCCAGCATCCCATACCCCAGCAGCAGCATCTCCGCGTCCTTAGGCGACACTGCACGGCAAGCACTCAAAAACCCTTCGTCCATCCATCCATCCATCCGCCACACACGTTTGCACCTCACCGTTGCCGTCTGTGGTCATGATGCCGAAGGCGTCATCGGCGATGGCCTCCATGGTCCGCATGTGGTACTCCTGCAGGTCGAGCATCTCCTGCTCTACCGCCGACCCAACCGTCCAAGCCACATAGCTCAGCTCACGGAGGGAGAAGAAGTCAACCCACCGAGGCTGTGCCGTGCCGGCCACAGGGGCGACGGGTGTTTGGCGGCCCGCGAACTGTCCGTCTTTGTCGAGGGGCTGGAGCAGGGCGCCGGCAGCGAGGTCGAGGAGGTCTTTGGAGAAGGCGCCCACACGCGTGAGGGCGTGGAGGATGTTGGCGAAGTCGTCCTGGATGGGGAAAGGGGTCATGGGTGTGTGTGTGTGTGTGTGTGAGAGGGGGGGATGGGTGCTTACGGGGTGGATGAGTTGAGCGTTCTTGAGTCGCTTGACCACCTGTTCTGTGAGGGCCTCGAGCAGCTCCACAGACAGGACACTCTCTGATCCCTCCGTGCCCTCCGGCTGCAATCACCAACACGCACACACACACAGACAGATGGGGCGACCCATTCAGGCACCTATGTGTGTATGGTGCGGGCTGACCACGAGCAGATCAAGGGTCGCATACGCCTGCAGCAAGTGCGCGATGCCCTGACCGCACCACCACACACACGCCGCATCCAAATTGTCTGATGTACCACCTCCCTCATCCCCCACCCGGTCGCTGATTTCATCCGGGAAGCTCTTGACCCTGGTCGAGATGGCGTCGAGCAGCGGCCGCGACGCCACGCCCGCCCGGCCAAAGGCGTAGGCGATCTTCGCAAGCTCCTCGTGAGACGCCGCGCGAAACTTTGATTTCGACTGCAGCAACTCGTCAGCAATCCCTGCACCGCACCCACACACACGTACTTGTGGGTGCGTGTGTGGTGTGTGGGTGTCTCGGCTGACCGGTGAAGAGCTCCTGGATGATCGGGGCCGGTGTCGTTGCGTCAGCCTCATCCTTGTCCGCGAGATATGGCTGCAGCATGGCCATGCTCCACGCGAACCTCGCGAGCTCAGTGGGCGGGAAGTCGCCCAGCGTGCGCATCGCCGTCTGGGCGAGCATCATGACGAAAGGCTTGTCGACAGACAACTTGCCGGCGCGCCCGTAGCCCTCTGCGATTTGCGTGAGGTCCCGCGGGGTGAGCTTGCCCCTTTCCGCAAAGGATGTGACGAACGGCTTGGCCTCTTCGTACAGCGCTGGGTGATTCTCTGGCTCGGGAATCTGCACACACAGGCGGAGAGAGAGAGGGGGG